GGCCCCCCCCGCCCGCCTCGCGGCCGCTGCCCGGCTTCGCGTCGTCCGCCTGGTCCTCTCCTCGCCACGCTCGTGCCCATGGACGCTCGCATCGCCACTTTACACCCGCCTGCTCCAGGGCGAGTCGGGTCGAGCCCGCCGCCTAGCACCGTCCGGAGACCGCGTTCTGCCCCTTGGCCCGGCTTCCCCAGCACTCGCGAGTCCGCCCACCGGTCCCCGCCAGCGGCCGCGCCGCCCTCTGTGTCGGCCTGCGGTAACAGCCGGCCAGCTTCTGAGCCTGCTTGTGAGAGAACTGCCGTCCCAGCTCTTGCCCTCGCCTAGTGGAGAGTAATGTCGGAAGGACGAAGGAATGGAAAGGGAGCTTCCTAGTACGGAAAACGACCTTTAACGTCCCCTTCTCAGACGGACAACCCGTGCCATCTCAGCCACCCCAGGGCCTAAGTTGCCGAGTTTAGGCCGATAACGCCCAGATATATTTCCAGCCAAGATTTACCACCCGGGCTATAAACCAATACCTCTACCTACCTACTGGACAACCGCCTGGCTAACTCACTTAAACTTATGGTTCTCCACTCTTCAGTGTTTCTGGTTCCCATGAGTGGCTTCATTCATATACTCACTTCCTGAGCGAAAGAAAAAAACTCCTTTGCTTCCCGTAGATAATCCTGTGTCTAAGGAGGGAGTTCCATCACCTAAAAATCATTGTTTTGTTTTGTTTTTGAGAGATTTTCGCTATAGGGCACCTGTGCTGGCCAGAGAGACAGAAATCAAGATGGCCACGCTGCACCCAGTCCAAGACTCCCAACTGCAATCGACCTTATGGGAGCCCAGCAATTTCACCATTACTCCACCTACTGGTCCCTCATCTAAAAATCAGTCACATCCATGTGTCTCCACTCTCTTTACCACTATCCTAATTTAAATTCATTCTCCAATGGCAGGTTGTGTTGTGGTTGGGTTTCTGGATTCCCACTTTGGCTGACCACAGCTCAAGTCCTGGCTTGCTTTCTCACTTTCCCTCTCTCTCTCTGGTCAAATTAAAATAATACTAAATATTTTTTTTAATCATTCTCACCTGAATTCTGATTAAAAACTCAGTTACTGGGGGACCAGCAGTTGGCCTAATGGCTATGTCGCTGGATTCCCATGTAGTCGACCATTGTTCGAGTCTCACCTGGTGACTTAAATTCATGCCACCAGGTGTGTGTGTGTGCATGCTCAAGATCCCGAGAGGAGAATGGAGGAGAAGGGGTTGCAGCATGGCCATCTCCTCTGTGATTTCTTGCTTTCTGGGGCTGTGGTTTTCTCTTTCTGGCGAGTACACACGCCCTATAGCAAAAACCTCTCTAAAACAACAAAAATTAAGTTAATTGGGGCTAGCTGATGGCATGGTGCTTAAGACACTGGAGGACTCCCACATGGTCAACCCCCATTCAAGTCCCAGACCTGGCAGCTTGCTTGCTTTCTTATCTCTCTCTCTCTCTCTCTCTCTCTCTCTCTCTGCCTCCAGTGAGCACACATGCTCTGTAACAAATTTAATAATAATAATAATAAATAAAGGTAAATAATTCCTAAAAAAATATAATTTTCCCCTCTCAAACCCCTCTCCATTCCGTAGTTGGATTGCTTGTTCAAAATCCAAAGTTCATCATGTCTCTTCCCATCTCCTGACAACAATTCCAAAGTTCTTTATTTGCTGCTTCAGTCTCTAGCTTCAAATTTCCTGCTTCTCTGCAGGAGTTTTTGTAGTGGCTTTAATGCATAATGCTTTTTCTCAACTCTGAGACTTCCCAGATAATTTCCTCTGTTTGGAACATTTTTTGAACTCTTCTGACACAACCCCCTCCCTACAGTTTCATGTATCCTCTTCGTGACTAAATTCCTACTCATCCTTCATCTAAGCTTAAATATTACTTCCCCTAGAAAGCCTTCCCAAATGGTTAAACTTGTGTAATGAGCAACAACTTTTCCTTCCTTGTCAAACTCTGAAATTGCTTGTTTAATTGCCCTCTTTCTCTGTTAGATTGTCAGCTACACAAAGTCAGGATACAATAAACAAAGTCGGGATACAATAAACACCTGTTAAATAAATGAAAAATAAATAAATAAGTGGATCAACCCAATAAATAAATAAATTGGATTTACAAACCAATTCTTGTGTTTTATTGATTCATCCTACTTTTAAATATACTAAGTTTATGTGACATTGTACTAGGATGCAACAAACAACATCCCCTCTGTTTGATTTTAGCATCCACAAAAGTTAATGCCCCGTTATTCATACCCTTCAGCCTCAATCCCATATACAAACACTTTCAGATTGTTCAGTTTCAATTAACCTTTGGCATAAAACAAATCATTTCAAAATGGAATGGTTGAAAATATGAGGCCAGCAGATGGTATAATGGTTACGTCACTGGACTCCCATGTAGTCAATCACAGTTTGAGTCCTAGACCTGGCAGCCTAACACTCCAGGCACCTGCACGTGCATGCCCAAAATCCCAAGAGGAGAGGAGAGGAAAAGGTATTGTGGCACGGCCATCCCCCTTGAGTGGTGATTTCTTGCTTTCTGTCTGTCTCTATCTTTCCAGCGAGTACACATGCCCTATAGCAAAAACCTTTCTTAAAGAAAAGAAAAACAATTTATCACAATTCCATGAGTTGACAATCTGATATTCTTGTGACCTTGCTTAAGGTCATTCACGTAGTTACAGTCATCTGACAACTCAGCTAGGGTGACAGTTAATTTTATGTGTCAATTTGGCTACCAGCAGTCATTGTCTTCATTAACCAAGGAGAAGCAGTGTGAGGGGGCCAATCTGTTAATTTATTTTAATTTGCTATAGGGCGTGCGTGCTTACTGAGATAGAGAGAGAGAAAGCAAAAAGTTCCCCCTACGGTGGATGGCCACACCACACTCCCTTCTCCTCCATTGGCCTCTTGGGATTTTGGGTACACATGCACACATGCCTAATATGTTTGATAAGCTGCCAGATCCAGAACTTGAATAAAACAGTTGGCCGTGCAGAATCCAGCTGCCTATCTAACACACCACCATATGGTCCCAAGAGAGCCAATTTTAGTTAACAATGTTCTTGATTACTGATGTTATCTAGATCATGACCCTTGGCTATATGTGTTAATAGTTTGTGTGAAGAAATAGGAAGTACACATAAAGCATTTTTATTGCATATAGGAGGGATTTCTCAAGAAAAAGCATTTACCAGCTAAACTAACCACTTCTTTTTTTTGGAGATGCTTTTCGCTATAGAGTGTGTGTGCTCGCCAGACAGAGAGACAGAGAGACAGAAAGCAAGAAATCACCCCCCAGAGGGGATGGTCATGCCGCAATCCCTTCTCCTCCATTCTCCTCTCGGGATCTTGGGCACACACGCACACGTGCCTGGCGTGAGTTTTAAGCCACCGGGTCCAGGATGTGAACTGCGGTCGACTATGTGGGAGTCCAGCGACATAGCCATTACACTAACTGCTGGTTCCCAACTAACCACTTTTTTCATAGAGCAGCCAAAGGCAGACAAACTATGGTTGTTCAAACTTAAGTATTTGGCAGACATTTTTCAAAACAAAATGAGCCCATCTTTTTTTTAAAAGAATTATTTAATTTTGGGACCAGCAGGTGGCATGGTGGTTAAGGCGCTGGACACTCCCACATGGCCGACCAGGGTTCAAGTCCTGAATCTGGTGGCTTGCTTTCTCACTTCCTCTCTATCTTACTCTCACCCTCTGTCTCTTTCTGGTCAAATTAAAAAATAAGTGAATGAATAAATAAAATACAATAAATAATTATTTTTTTAAAAAGAATTATTTAGTTTTATTTACTCAGTCATTTATTTTAATTTGACCAGACACACACACAGAGAGAGAGAGAGAGAGAGAAAGTGAGAGAGGAAGCCACCAGGTGCAGGACTTGAACTGTGGTTGGCCATGTTCAGCACTTTAAACACCATGCCACCTGCTGGTCCTGAGTTCATCTTTTTAGTGAAAACAACTAATGCATTTGTTGGCATCTTTAAATATTTCTATATCACTGAGCTTTCTTTTTTTAAAAAAGCATCTTCTCTTTTTTTTTTTTTTTTTTAAATTTTACCAGAAGGTGAGTGTGCTCATTGAAGAGAGACAGAAAGAGGAAGAGAGAGAAAGAAGAGGAAGTGAGAAACCTCCCTGCCCCACCATGGGGACGGTCACACCACGATCCCAATCCCTCCATTTCTCCCTCGTTTTGGGATATGGGGCATGCATGCACAAATGCCCAGAGTATTTTTTAAGCTGTTGGGTCTGAGACTCAGACTATGTGGGATCCAGCCACTTCAATCACCATGCTGCCATGGGCTGGCCTCTTTAAGGTGTATTTTTTTCATGGGAGTGAGAAACATATGATAGAGACAGAAAGAAAAAAGTCTGTTTTACTACTCT